TCGCCATGTTAGTCAGAAAATATAACCAAAAAAATTGGTAGGAATTTTTTTTTTTGTAACAGAAATTTTTTTTTTACTTCACTAATTTTTGGTTTAGTATGCGCCTCGGGAGAGGTATTATAAGAGTTTTCGCAGCGATTTTGCATCGATTTTGCATCAAAACTTTAGCATCACATTAGCATCGAATAGTTTGCGTCGAATACAACCGCCACTAAAGAAGTAGGTGAACCCATTATAAACGTGTCACCTACCTACCCTATCCGAGGCAATGTCCGACTCTATATTCGACGCTAAATTGATGCTAAAGTTTTGATGCTATTGCATCGATTTAGGGTCGAACTGAGACCGTCGCCGACAAATTGACGCTAAATCGACGCTATAGCGTCGATTTTTTCATCCAAATTAGCGTCGATTTTGCGTCGAACTGAGACCGTCGCCGACAAATCGACGCTAAACCGACGTTATATAGCTTCGATTTTTTCGTCCCAAATTAGCGTCGGTTTTGTGTCGAAATTTGATAGCGACACAATGACGACGCAAATTCGACGCCAAAACTGTGTTTTCTTGTAGTGAAATAAGGTGATTCTTAAATTATGCATTTCATTTGAACAATATATATTAAAGGTGCTTGGAAAGAGGGAATTACCTGTTTCCATAATGGTAATAACACTAAACAAACAATGTTCAACATACAAATGTTTGCTAAAGCAACGGAAAAGCACGGTTTACACTGAAAAAGAACTATATATGCGCTACAAATTAGTTTTAGAATGGCTACTGATGGTTGAGGAGGTGAGCTCTATGNATACGTGAACAAAACCTTATTACTCAAAACAATAGATCATGTGAAGAGTTTCATTCCTTTGTGGTTATTATATGGGCAAGTTTTTTTCCTTCTACCTTCTATGTTAGTTTTTCAGTCTTTTTTGGGTTTATAAGTAGAAGTGGTACCACTGTAGCATACATCACATGGTTAGGGAGGGTCTTGTAGTGTTTTCGAAAAAGTGTGCACGTATACCATTATCCAAATTTAACCTCACTCTTATCCAAATTGTATCCTCCATCTCTGCTATTATTGATTTCTTTACAAGTCCTGGACTCATGGATATGCTCGAGTAAACTCTAGAAGGTGTTTATAATTATTGGTTTCACAAGGCATGTCAATTCATGAAAGTGAGGAACACAAACGAAAATAAAATCGAAATAGTAAGACATCTTATCTTATTCACGATGTGAAAAGCTTGATGATCTTAATGATTTCTCAACCAGATGACAAATGGACAACTTAATCAGATATATACTTCATGTTGCACCAACTTGATTTACCAAAGTCTTCAATTTTGTATAACGAAATAGAAATGATGAAATTGACGAAAAAACAAAAAAAAATGATGAAAACATTTTACAAAAATATCAAATAAAATCACTAATTTTTCAATTTTAAAAAATATAACAAGAAGAAAAACCCACGTGTATACGCGGGTATTCACCTAGTTTATAATAAAGACTTAACAAGTTTTTAAAGAGATTTTATTATGTTTTGTAACAAAATCTTTTCAAATTTATAAAAACAAATATATGTATTCTTAAAACAAATTAATTTCTAACACAAGACAATTTGAAAATAACAAAACTATTTAAGATAAACTGTATATAAATTTGTATATCCTTATATTAAATATGAAATTTATTTAAATCAAAGGTTATATATTTTACATGCTAATATTTAATAGCTAATATTCAGCTTTTATATTTTAAGAAAATCAGTTTAATATTGTCATATTATATTTAATGTTTAGTAAAAAAACACTATAAAAATTTCAGTATGAAATAAAAAAATAAAAAAAAATCGGAACATAGAAAATCGTTCAATGAATAAAATTGATCTCTAAATTGTTATTTTTTTAAACAAAATATGAAAAAGTGTAAGAGACGTCAACCATAGTAAAAATAGAAAACAACAAAAGTTTGAAAAACAAAAGAAGAGGAAAACATAGTGTATTTGGTTTATGTTGTATGAAAAAACTTATTAATTTTTCTTTGTTTATGAAAAATTGTTCACATTAATATTTTCATATTTCGATGTTGAATTCAATGTTCATTCAAAATTTAATGTGAAAAAAATGATTTAGAAAAAAGATGATCAAATAGGGGATTCAATCTGTAATGAGAAGAATCTCGACTTTTG